GGAGTCACATGGTATTGTGGGAACCAGAAGAGGTCCCTGACCCACCTGAGAGGGTTCTTTGAGGAGGAGGAGGTATCTAACTTGAGACCTGAAAGATGACCAGGAAATTGTCAAGATAAGGAGAGAAGGGGAGAGACTTCTAGACAGAAGTCACTGCAAGTGCAAAGATCCTGGGGTAGAGAGTATGGCTAAGGTGGGAAACTGTCAAAGGTTCAACATGGGATGTGAGGTGTGCAGTGACCACAAGTAGAGAGGTGTCACGTGTCCCCCAAAGATCAACAGAGCATCCCCCAAAGGTCAACGTCTTCCCCAGGCCTGTGAAGAATGGTGCCAAGACAAGGATGGACTTCCTCTGCACCTACCGCCAGCCCCCCAGCAGCCAAGGTCTGCCTGCCAAGCAGGTGTTCCAGGAGCTGAGCTGGCAGACCCACGGGATCACCAAGCTGGGCCCCTACTCCCTGGATAAGAACAGCCTTTATCTCAATGGTGAGCAGTTCTCAGCCCACTTCACTGGGGCCACCTCCTAACTCCAGATGGGTTTCCATGTACCAGTTCTCCAGGGGAAACCTTGACACACACTCGGGTGTGAACCTCTACTTGACACTAACCCCCCCCCCAGCAACCCTGGAAGGCTGATCTTTGATTAAACCCATTTGAAACCTGAATAAACTGAGGCTTAGAAAGGTTAAGTAATTTGCCCAAGTAGGTGTAGCTTTTGAGAGTGGTGGAGCCAAGGCATGACCCCCAGTTGTCAGCATTTAATGCCAGTCTTTCTAGGGGATACTTGGGGAAAGGAAATCCCGCACCTCTCTCCCCTCCCTGCTTTTTTCTCACCATTGACCAGGGACAGACTTTTTTCCGGGGGGGGGCCCTTAGGCCAGAAGGAAGGCCGGGAATTCGGATATTCTGGGGGGGTCCAAGCTTCGGACACACTGGCTATCTACCTAGAATCCCAGAAGAGACAGCATCTAGGAGGGTGACCCCCGACTCTGGGGTTCTGAGGCACAGAGCATGGCTGTGGTAGGTTCATCGAAATAACTCAGCTTCCCTCCTCTCTGTCTCCAACCTGCAAATGGTGCTTGGCAACTCCCACTTTCTTGTCACCATTGCCCCGTCAGGTGATCAGGGAGATATCCTGGTCTTTTATGACTTCCATTTTAGCCAAGAGGGAAACAGAGACATAGAGGAAGGAAGGGACCTGCCCACACCCATGGTAGGTTTGTAGTCGGTCTGGGTCTTAATGTTCTAAGTTCACATCTGTTCCCTTCACCTTGGCCATTGCAGTGGCCAATTCAGGATTTCTCCCCTCGGAAACTGCACAACTTTCTGCTTCATTTTGTTCACTGACTCAGCAATTACCAAGCATCTCTGATAAGCCCAGCCTCGTGCCTGGCTCTAGGATCAGAGATAGGCTACCTGCACAGCCTGTCCTAATGTAAGCTACAGTGGGACAGAGCCTGCCTGGGTCAGTGTGTATTCCCCAGCTGTAATGGAACTTGGCACATAGGAAGCCCTCAATAAATATTCATTGGTGGAGGGAGAGATTGGAGGGAAGGTGGAAGGGAAAATGGAGGAGTGGATGAATATATGGGGGCATAAACGTAGGAACATAAATGTGCTGAGAGTCTCTTGCCACATGCTGGGTAGGTGGAGAGGGAAAGGGTGTTTCTAATGGAAAGATTAGGAAAGCCTTTCGAGTGGATAAGCCATTTGAGTCTCATCTTGGAAGATGCAGAGGTGCTCACCTGGGACAGAGGGAAAGGCAGCCGGGCCGGAACCCCACACGGACAAAGGCGTGGAATATCTGGGATCATCCTGCCACCTCCCCTTATATGTGACATTTTTGTTTCCAGGTTATAATGAACCTGGTCCAGAGGAGC